AAGGTGGTGGAGCCATCGGATCAACATTGAAAAAGCAGAAATCCTCATCTGTGAGGCGTGGATCGGGAAGCAATTGCTCCACACAATTTCGAGCACTGAAGCAAATGATTTTGATCCGGGCATTGCATTGAGGAAGGACTATCTCCCTTTCAAAATAACGTCGGCTCAGTTGTACCTTTTCTAAAATTCGTAGAACATTTTTCCTGCTGAGTATCTGGATTCTTCCTCACTTTCGTTCCATTATGCGACCCAGTTCCTCCAAATCCAACAAGATACTATCATGCATAGGTAACCAAATGTCCTTTTCCTAACGAATATCCATATTTACCCCTCCGCTCTCCAATCGTTAACTCGGGAATTCTTTCCTTGACACAGTAGCCTGAATCGTTTATGTTCTTTCTCGCGGGCCGGATCATCCAACTCCTCTTTTTGTCAGCTTTGCAATTGCTACACCCTCCAAAAGCGGGCTCACTGCCTCACTATAGCTCACAATCCGAATCCGCGTTGAATCGATCAATGTTGGTAGGGAAACCACCATCCTCATCTAGCTCCCATTTCCTCCCCATCGCACCGCCTTTGTTGGCGATCGAGGATTGCTCAGTTTTCCGATCTGTTCGTTCTTTGAACCACCTACTACCTTGATGAGGCCCTGCAGGCAGCTCGTCCCAATCAAATCGCTGCGGATAATGGCCTGTCCCGGAATTTGCTGCTTCTTGCTTCTTTTGGTCTTTGGCGCCGACCGGTGTCATGAGAACAAGCTGATCACTCTGCCTTGATCTTGTCTCACACCTTATAGGATTGAAAGCAAGTCAAACCAGGGCTTCGGCATCAGTGGGCAGCGGCTGTCTGTTGCATTGAGATTGCTGATATCCTATCAGATTTAGAATTTTTTATTGCAGTACAGGGCACCAAACTCCTTCTTGATGATCCATGCTGCAAGACTACTAGCCAACACTACTGCTACACGACAGACTAGGCGCAGGCTGGTGATTGGATTCCGTAGCTGGGGAACCGGCCCCCTTACCAATCGGGATATAATTTATGACCCAAAGAGAGGTTTGCCTTCCGCAAAAGACGGTCCAAAAAGTGGATCCCAAATCGTGAAGCAGGCAGTCTTGCCGGGCGGGCCTCGTTGTCATGCCCATTGGAACTACAAATCCCGACCGATTCCAATCACTGCACGCATTCTTGGAAGAAATTACGTCACGGATCGGGATCGTGCTGGTTGGCGTTTGGTACCTGCACGCATGTCGATTCTAGCACTACCTAAAAATGCGCTTCTTAGATGAATTATATAGCCAATCAACGTGAAGCATACATCAAAACAAAACTGTTCGGTAATGCCCACCTGCGCAGCAATGACACTCTAATGCGTGTTCTATCCAACTGGCACCTGCATCTTCCAGCCTCGTACTTGGCCAGGTGCAATTACGGAAGCCCCGAAGAAATTGCGAATGCTCTCAATGTTGATAGTGCAGGGCACATGTTCGCAATGAGCCTCGCTTCTGGCGAAGTTGTCACAAGGTACCGTGATTGTGTATTGCCTATTCGAGACGAACAATGCACGCACTTTGAAGAACGTATCGAAGGGGCATTCTTCGTTTTCTCTCCTACCGGTCTATATCAACTGATGCACCTTGCACTGAGACGAAAGGGAACAAGACAAGTTTGCTGTGATGGTACAGGTGGGATGATACGCGATCAGAGTTGTCTCATTACAGTGGGCAGTGTTTCGGTCAAGCTTCGTCTGGACTGTGACAAAGTTACATCATCATTCCGGCCCATCCTTTACCTCAGGGCAGGAGGAGAGCGCTTCCATCCATACTGTTTGGTGCTGTATGCTATGAGGGATCTCTGTCGCCAGTGCCTTGGAATAGACTTCAACCTTGATTGGGGTACATCAGATGATGCGGATACATTCGTCTCTGCGCACATGTTCTACAAGCAACAAGCAAGTCTTTGTGACGACGACGTAACAGGTAATGCCCCAATCCAGAACAGACAGTTCTGCATAGAAGATATCGACGAATATCCACCATCACCAATCATACCACTGACGCAAGCTGATGTGCCAGAAACTACCGATGATGCTAGCACTGAGAGTGAAGACAACTGCCACGAAAACGAGGCAGTACTCAATTGTTACTTCCACGTCGCCCAAGCCTTTGCCAAACGATCGAGCTATGTCAAGAAGATGAAGTGCAAGACCTTCTCTGATCCCAAGGGTACAGCTTACAGACATGTCTGCAACATCGCAAGCACAAAAACTGTGGAACAGAGATCGGTGGTGACTCAGCTGTACTTGAAAGATTGGAGGGAAAGCCGCGATGAGAAGGCAGCTGCAGACCATTTCGAAAAAGAGTACTGTCGCCATCCAAAGTGGAATTGGAATTATGCCTGCACCGGTGAGATAGGCATTTATCCAACGAACTGTCCCAATGAAAGCTTCAATAGACATGGAATCAAGAGTGTTGCCACTGATTGTTCGAAGAATGCGTCTCTTGCTTCCTTTCTTGTTCACACTGCACCACGACTTTTGGAAGAAGACTCCCGAGCAAGAGCAGATGCCTGCACTATTGAAATTCCCAGGACAGCATCCTTATTGGCTGTTGGGATTACGGGCTTCGTGAGGGAAGGCATTGACATTGTCCAGTTGGGTGTTGACGAGTACGGCAATCCATCTAGCTGGTTAGCCAACTTACGTCACAAGATTGGTGTGCCAATCGACAAGGGACGAATACGTAGAGTGCTCGCATCGTTGGAGGGTGACACTCGACCATTCGAAGAAACGTTGAAACTCCAGGGAGTGGCGTACCCAGAGATGGTTGCAGACATGATGGTGGCAACCACAAAGAACGTCTGTCATCTACAATGGAAGCAGGGTAAAATCGTTGGAGACTGCGAAGATTGTGTCAAATACCTTGGCTACACTTGTCCAGGAGCGATCTTCCTGAGGAGCAAGTTCTCTCTGCTGCAGTGCAAAGTCGAAGTTCTTCGGAAGTCCGATGCCAATGCAAGAGGCGATGCCGCCAAAGCTAGTGCCCGTGGGAACCCCAACAAGCTTTACCAGAGTGGGTTGTCGAAGAGCAGTAAGAGACGCTGTCTGTCAAAGATGATTGAGACGTTCGAAGGGTATTTGGCGACTCTTAATCATCAGCAACTGTCACGTCTTGTTCTGTACCTTCGTCTGTACCCCATGGATTCGAAGTACCAGACCCCATTGAAAGGAAAGTCAACAAAAGATCTATTGGATACCCTTGTTTCCTTCCATGACAACCCCACAGCTTACCGTGCAATGCTGCTTGGACGTCATAGCAGTAAGGAAACGTCGTATGTAGTTGTGAAAAAGATAGCACGAAAGCTGAACGAAGTGTCCAAGTCAAAGATGCAAGGCAAAGAAAACACCACGTGATGAAAAAGGGGGTATTACATAGACCAAAACATCATAACAATACTAGTACTATGACAAATTATCCAATTGAAAGTAGCTCCATTTCCCAATAGATAATCAATGCGCAACAAGTGATTGGGAGATACGTCGGGAAATGTCTTATCAAAATTTGGATAAAGCCAAACAAATTTGAAGCTATGCACACCCTTTCATTGGATGTTTCATTGGCATGCCGAGAGCGAAATACTCCACTGCCAACACTCCTACTCGGACTTTCGGGGACTTTGGTTGATTGTTGCTTGGTACGACGGTGTCACAATTGCATACTTCTTCTGCCCAAGATTGCTGACTGTTTCATCATGGAAGGTTCACCTAGCTGCTCGAACTCGAACAATGGAGTGCTTCTTTTTGGCGATGACTATGTTCCGGTGCCAAGGCTTGCTGTCAATCCCGAAGTCGGGAATAACCGCATTGTGGTCCACAACTACCAGCAGTTCCAAGATGAGACTGCGTACTGTGCTCGCAAAGTACAAGAGATGCTTGATTCTGGTATGGATCTTCAGCACGATGGAAACCAGAAGCTCTTTGAAGTCAACAGGAGGCGCATTCGGAATGGGTACAAGACACTTCCCGAGTTCATCTCTGACTATGACATGGTTGGCATCTGGTGGGTGCGCCATCTTATCAAAGAAAAACGCTTGATGATCCCCCACGAAAATGACCGCGGCGACATTTCCTTGTATGAACGACTCTTCAAGCTGAAGCTTCTCCTTCCCGATCCATGGGTAGAGCCATTCAAAACCACCAAGTTCTGTGAGATTTGGGAGATGGATGAAGACCAGTACATGATGAGTTACCATCGTTTCTTGAGTGATGTCGATCTTTACACTGAGCTTGTCGAAGATTCCAGCGATGATGATGAGGATATGGTCAATATGGGTGGCATCAACCTCGGCAAACTCGAACGGCTTCTTGACAGGCAGGGCACCGAAGATTTTGCTGAAGTGTCTGCCGACGATGATTATTCTGGTTCTGGTGTCCTTCCCGAAAACCTTTTCCAGCCTGGGGATGTCTATGACACAGACCAAACTGACCACACTCGGGACGACGAAGATGACCTTGCTGCAATGGAACCGGAAGATGTTCCATTAGAAGAACCAGTGGATGAACCAGTGGATGAACCGGTGGATGAACCGGTGGATGAACCGGTGGCAGTGGCTGTGCCGGTGGCAGTGGGAGAAGAAAGTGGAACCGAGATTGACGAACTTTTGCTCCAACCAGTTGGCTGGGTTCTGTCCCAAGTGGAAGAAGACACAGAAACCACCGAAGAGACGGAAGGAGAAAACCAAGGCACCCAGGAAGAAAACCAAGGCACCCAGGAAGAAAACACCGAGGAAGAAGAGACCGAGGATGAAGAGACCAAGGAAGAAGAGACCCAAGAGACCGAAGAGACCAAAGAGACGGAAGAAGACCTTGACTCCAAAAAACGTGCCACTTTGGACACTGCAGAGGATGATGTCACGGATGTCACGGATGAAAGCCCAACCAAGAAAACCAAGACTGACAGTAGCGATGAAGAGGAGGGCGATAGCAGCAGCGAGGGAGAAGAAGCAACCCATGATGGAGGCGATGGCAGTGACAGTAACAATGAGGATGAGGATGGCGAGGGCGGATCGGATGGAATCGAAATACTTGCAACCGGAAGCTTTTCCTATTAGATGGCATTGTCTCATGTTGGGCTTCTCATTGCTGTAATCAAAGCGGTCGTCAATGGCCATTGCCCTTTGTTGTTTGTGTGAATGTCCAGGTGGTCCTATTTTGGGTTGTCTGAGTTCTTTGATTGTGGTTTCACTCACGAGTTTCTTTGGGTATTGTTTACCGTGGTCCTTTATTACGTATTCTTAAGACTAGTAAACGCGCCAAATTGACTTCGAGGAAGCCTGACTTATATTTATATTCGAGTATGCATATAAATCTGTCAATGGCCACGAAGGAAAGGCCAATAGTAAGATAATACCTGTTCGCATGTTGGAAGTTGTGAGTACTGGTACAGCGTATGCATAGCCCCCAAACTCCCTCTAAGCCACAATGTCTCTATGTTCGGTCACAGGATTTGTCGCATGCAACGTGCACTTCACTTCAAGTTCGGAGGAACTCTAAGAGTTCTTGTCTCTATTATTAATAATAATAATATATATTTACATACGACTGGTTTTGGCTACTGAGTACGAGAGCTGCACTACTCGTACATGTAGCTAGCTACATGTAGCTAGAGAGCGCTATGTACATCAGCTGTACATCAGAAAAATAGTGGAGAGGCAACAAGCTCTGGTACCAGGGCTGTTAGCATTTGCGATTATTACTTCTTTCCTTCGTTTTCTCTTGTGGGTGACCTTCTTGAATGGCTGTGAGCCATGTGAGCATGTGAACCGAGGAAGAAGAGGAGTGATTGCCGCGGAAGGAGAGGAGTGATGAGGTGGAGGATCTTTTGGAAGCAAGATAAGATTCTCACAATATTCAGTACCGCCACTCTCACTATTTCCGGTTTGGCAAAGCAAGCATCAAACTTCCATCATGACTTCCCAACTCTCCTAGAGATTTTCGCCTCTCAACTTTTGCGGGAGACATCAACAGGCTCATTGTTGTTGCGCGAAGGACAGACCAAATAGCTAGATAAGCAGCAACACTGCACTCTCACTTATCCTTTAGCATGACATTACACTGATTGATAGGTCTCTTGACAGGTTATGATGCCCACACTACGCTACCGCTAGTGCCTTGTATCTCTACCGAAGTGCTTCTAGTCTCCTGCTATTGGCAAGCCGGGTACAACTTGACCGGTTCCAGCTATTCCCAACAACTTCCTCAACTACTACTTTACTTGACTACTACTTTCCGACTTGGTTCTCCGCCCATCTCTTTGCCGCAGACCCTGTCGTTTCACCCCTACTCCTACTACGTTTCTTTCCTGTCTCTGTCTGTAATCCCTTCTGCCCATGGATTCTACAGGACAACCCCTTTTGTTGGACGACCAGCGCTCCTCTGAGTCCTCCACCCGACGATGTTTCGACATCCACCACTGCTTCATTGGGTCTCCTGCCGGCCAATTCCGCTTCACTTCCGCTAATGCTACCCGTTTCCAAAAATTGTTCTGCCATACCTTCTCTGTGTACGGCAACGACCCACGGTTCTTCACCCACCCTTCACCGTTCACCAAGGATTGTCTCAAGAACGACGATGAACTCCTACCAGCTCTCCGTCGCGAAATTCTTCATGACCTCATCGGACTGAACCCAGACTCGAATCTCTTTCAACAAATCTACCACGATTGTCAGCCTCTCCTCTTCAGCGCCCGCCTTTCCGTCAAATCTCCCAACATTGAACTTGTGCCGCTGACCGCTGCTTCACTTGCCGCTGCTCTCAGTGATGTCTCCAATTCCTTTGATCGGCACGGCTACGCCAAATCCCCCGTCCACATTTATATCCACACTGAGCACCTCCGACGTCGATCTCCTGACCAGCCTGCCTATTTATTGAGTGATTTTTACAGCACCCAACAACCGCCTATTGTCCCTTCCAATACCCCTCTATCCGACCGAAAACTTCAATATTTCAACCCCAACCCATCCCCTTCCCTTTTGCCTGCATTTTCTCCACCCCAACCCGAACCACCCTTGGACGCTGCCGCCCTACCACCCACAGCAACTCCTCGACAATCCACCCCGCATTCCGATCCCGCTGCTCAGGCACCCTTGGTTCCATCCCCTTCCATTTTGGTTCCTCCAATTTTTTCCAGGGCAGACATATCTCCCATTTCCAATCACGGGAGGGTTTCTCCTTCTTCCCTCTCTTCTACTTCCGACAATAATCGCCCTTGCTCTGTGGCTCCCTCGGTCAACTCCCTTGCTGATGACGACCCAACAATTTACGCCACCAACACCCGTGCCACCCCTGCCTCCCACTCCCCTTCTTCCAATTCTTCCGTGGCCACTCCAATTTCCTCTGTTCCATCATCAACGTTTGCGGATCCAGCCGATTCCCCGGTTGCACGTCCAATTTACAGCCTCTCCACTATGGCTGACAGTGATTCGTCCCATCCTGTTTCCAATCTTCCCCCTTCCTCTCCTCCGCTGGACTACTCCTCTTCGTCGGACGTTTCCACCACTAATGGTCCATACGACGAATCCTACTATGACGGCGATCCTTTCTACCAGCATACTGATGATCCCTCTCCCAGCGCATCATCCCCATCTGCTTCCATTGATGATCCCTTATCCCAACGTGCTTACATCGACACTGATAATCCCTCTCACAACGAATCATCTGCTTCCATCGACACCGACGATCCCACTTCCGACGAATCATCCCAACGTGCTTACATCGACACTGATGTTCCCTCTCCCTCTGAGTCATTCCCGCCTGATTACATCGACAAATCCTACTACGACGATGCCAACGATCGATACCTTGATCCCAACACACTCCACCGTGATACTGACTTCGATTATTATTACGACAACAATGAAAATTGCTACCTCTACGACGATACCGACGACTACTTCACTGATTCGTACGGCAATTCTTATTTCTGATTCCCATGCACTCCATTCCTTTTTCCCATCACTCTTTTCGGTTCTGCTTCTCTCACTACTGGTCCTTTCTTCTTTCACGTCTTTTGATCTCCAATGCTATCCCATTCCAGATCACGGGAGGGTGTTGCGCGAAGGACAGACCAAATGGCTAGATAAGCAGCAACACTGCACTCTCACTTATCCTTTAGCATGACATTACACTGATTGATAGGTCTCTTGACAATTGTCACGGACAGCGCAACTTCACATTCTGTTCCTGCCGAAGCCTTGCCGTTGTCTCCCTCGGCAACAGCTCCCCAACTCTGCAAAGTACCAGAAAGGTCTTCAGAGAAACAAACTTTCATGGTTCCCCGGTGCTGCCGAGGATTGGCAGCAGGAGACACGAAAGGCAATCTTCTGACGAACTTCCAAAACTCCCATCGCGATCCTTTGACTGAATTGATCTGTTGGTCCGGATCTCATGTATTCTACAATAGTGCGAAAAAGCATGGCTCCCTGTGCAGCTTGGGCATGGTCTACGCCCTCTGAAGGCAGAAAACGAACGAAACTGCGGTGGCCCCAGTGCCCCACAAAAAGAGAATACCTCTGATTGGGTTTATCGGTTTATCAACCAAGAAGGTAGAGCCGCCTACGCCTTGTGCGGCGGTCTACCCATACTGCAATGCAAAACACACAGGGGCGGTCCGTCCACTGGCACCATAGCTACCGTTATCCGTCGTTATTATAAAGAAATTGTTCCTTCATGGCATAACATAACGCAAAAGCAACTTTCCAGAACAATGCCGCGCACATGTTCCTGCACCCAACCGACGTACTAAGTTATAGCAGTGGAAGTGAATCATATCCACGAAAGGGGTTAGCCATCTTAGTCCACGAGTCCTACAGCAGCTTCTGGGGGTAAATATCACAGGATTGATCTTTCCAAGCGCCTACAACCATAGTGCCAACGCTAAGAACACCTCCACCGATTGTTTGTAGGGTGCCAATGGAAACTGGGCGGATGAACAAAGAACAACACAGACCCGCATTTTCACAGATGGCTAGAGTAGGAAGGTTATCTATGGAAGCCCCAGGAAAAGAAACGGCAAAGTTCAGTACAAGGTTCCGTGTGATCATGGGCCACATTTTTGGAGTTCTGCGTGTTGATACAGCGGTGCCACAAAGCTGGGACAGAAGCACAATATGATTGTGATTCTACGGTACGGTACAGCCAGGAAACCGTACAAGTACGTAGAGTAAGCTGCTTGGTCTACCCCGCCGTACCCATGCAGATTGGATGGCGAACTCTTCTGTGGTTTAGGACAGATTGAATGATTCTATATTTCAATCATTCCATTGCTCCGGCACCTGGCAATTGTGGGGAGCGGACTTGTAAGGCACTCGTACGGTACCGTAACCACACTGCGATATACTGGTCCCCGGATGCCGAGGCCTGCATACCGCTCACTAGAGTGCCCCTGAAGGCACGGTATCACCGATTGATCACCATTCGTCGAAGTGAGTCACTTATCCTACCGAACCGATGCGATGCGTCCTCGTGCTCATTAGCATGCTTGCTTCAAGGTCCACCCAACGAACAGTAAGAGGGCGCTACCTGCCATGACCTGCATCCTAGCTAGTACATGGGCACCGGCAGCCACGAAACTGCCACAGCTTGTGAGCTTGCTACCTGCCACGGCATGAATCCTAGTGCATGGGCACCGGCAACCACGAAACAGCCACAGCTCGTGGGCTCAGGAGCATTGAAGCATGTCTTTGAACCCCCACGCGGCAGGCAAGCAACTCGCCATCTCCTCCTCCTTCAGCCAAGCCGCTCTCACGGTAGCTCTCACGGTGCACCGAAATTTTCAACTGCCCCTTCTGATTTGGACAGCATGGTCACATCGTCCCATCATTGGATGGACAGCTTCGTCACATCATCGAATCACTCTTGGACGGTGTCATCAAACTTGACACAGTCTGATTGGGCTGGGATCCTGGATGTGGACGTGGCGAAATCTTCCACTTCAAGGCAAAGCCCGAACCCGCCATCAAACATGCCACCGGCAGCCCTGTCACCACCAGCATCCCTGCTCTCTACCTCCGTATCAGTACAAAATCCTACCAATTCCTCTTTTTGGAAGAGTCAAAGTGCCTGCAAGGTCGTTGAAAGCACGGGTTGTCGGCGTGTCTGCTTCCAGGTCTTTGTTGTGGATCTGCATTTTTCGGGGTGTTCTCAAGATCTACCCTCAGCATGTGTCTGTGATACCAACCTAACGTTCCATGATCATTGGCGAGCGTTAACCGATAGGAAGTCAAAGATAGGGTTAAGGCATTAAGACATTTCTTCTGGAATGTTCCTGTCGTTGAAGAAAACCATTCGGCCAATCTTTTGTTTGGATCTTCGCCCTCAACTTGAGCAGATCCAATTTTCCGTTTTCTCCTCCAAGTTGCATCGCCCCCTTTTGCTGCTCCCTTGCCGATGATACTCACAACTTTGATTTACTTGACGATCAAAACATATCCAAGATGAAGACCGCCATCCTCGCCTCTCTTATTGCCACCGCCGCCGCCTTCGCACCTGCCAAGGATGCCGCCCGCACCACCGCCTTGAACATGGCCTTCGAGGACGAACTTGGCGCCCAAGCTCCTCTTGGATTCTTCGATCCCCTTGGCATGGTTGCTGATGGAGACCAAGAGAAGTTCGACCGCCTCCGTTATGTTGAGATCAAGCACGGACGTATCTGTATGCTTGGAGTTGTTGGATACCTCCTCAACGCCGCCGGTGTCTACCTTCCAGGAGACATTGACTACTCCGGAACCAAGTTCTCTGATCTTGGATACGGATGGGATGCTTCCTTCGCCGTCCCCGTTGCCGGTGCCCTCCAAGTCTTGGCCTTCGTTGGCCTTTTGGAGCTTGCCGTCATGAAGGACATTGAAGGAACCGGAAACGAACACGTTGGTGACTTCCGTAACGGAGCTCTTGACTTCGGCTGGGACTCTTTCGATGAGGAGACCAAGCTTACCAAGCGTGCCCTTGAAATCAACCAAGGACGTGCCGCCCAAATGGGTCTTTTGGGACTCATGGTCCACGACAAGCTTGGAAATGTTGAAGACTTCTTCCCCAACTAAGCGACTTCATTCTTTCGGAATCGTTGAACGTTTATAACAAATAAACAGCTATTTGGCACCCGAAAAGAACTCGTCTTGTAGTGCTGTAGATGTAGACTACTGAAATTCCAGTAGATTGTTTCGTTGTGGCGTTGGTTCGCTGCAGACGCTGCTGGATGATTGGTCATGTCAACAGCACGACATCTCGTCTCTCATAAGCACTGCTGCTCTTCCTCTTGCCATGGTGTCGCTTTGTTGGCGGGGCTCTCAACGAGTGACTGACCATGGTGCTCGTCTTAGAAGTTGTTGCAGTGCATCGGCTGCTTGGAGGAATGACTTCGTTTGATTTTTCATGAGCGTGGAATGTATGGCGGGAGGAGGAAAGCACGAGCAACCAGCCACCGCAAATGAATTGCTGGCTTCTTGTTTTGTTGTCTAGGCTCCAACGCTTGGATCGCCGTACAGTATGATCGAAGACTATCGAATAGTACATAAGCGTGCGAGAGGAACCAACTTCTAACTATATGTAAAGGAAGAGCCCACAGCTTGCAGAGAGGGAAAGGTCCGTGCTGCCAAACACAACTACCGTAACTAAGAAGCCCCCATACAATTAGCGGATGCAATCCTAACTAAGGAACCATGTATGTGCGTCATGTACATAGATTGGTCTACCAATACTTCCACCTACTGGCTGCCGTACTACACTCCACTCCGTCGTTGCAGCAGTAGAGTAGTGGCAGCCACGAAACTGCCCATCCATAGCGTCCAGCATCTTTGGGATGCACTACTGCTCGGAGTGCTTTGGTAAAGCATGGCGTCGTCAAATCCACTGAGGTATCCGCCGGGACAGGGATCCAACGGTGACACATCATAGGTCAACTCCGAACAGTTGCGGACAATGTAACTGAGCAATCCAGATCCCCGTCGTGTTCGTCCGGCATATTTCTTGAAGAGGGGTCCACTAATTTCTTCATTGCAAAGGATGCACTCATTGAGGGGACATTGGGATTCGTTCAAGTTGGGCGGGTCTCCAAAGTATTTCAGGCAGGAGCTCAAACAGTTTTCACGCGTATTGGTGGTGGTATCGTACAACCATGTGGCGGCACAGCTCTTGGTGAAACCAATGTCTTTATAGCATTCCAACGCCGCCGTCTTATTGGAGAGTGAAATGTAGCCGCACTCGGCTCCTGGTCCCTGTAAATCCGGGGTTTCAATGTAAATGGCCAGATCCGTGGTGGAACTACAAGTGCCACAAGCTAGTAGTGTTGTTGTTGTATTGTTGTTGGATGGACAAATGACAAACAGCATACAAGGTGAGGAACAAAGAATCACAGCTGCTTCTTCCCCATCCCAACAAACAATTGACTAAGTCGACTGCGTACCACCCATATGAGTGACCGTGAAGCCTGCTTGTTCTGCTTCGTCTCTGGTTTCAAAGGACTCTGTCGTGTAGCTTCCATAGCATTGATTCAAGAGTCTATTGTCATAGCGAATCCCACAAACTGCCTCTGGGCCCCACTCTTGTTCGACATTGTTGCCCTTCGAATCGGTGAGAGTACAGCCTTCCACGTTGGCATACGGGTAGGGATTGCATTCGAGATGAATGGGATTGGTCCATCTCATTCGCTTGAGTAATTGTGTAAAGTTGAAGGAAATGGCCGGCATGGAAGGGCACGTACTATTATTAGTGTCCTCCACCACACAGTAACAACCGTCGCATGTGGGTGGAAACACATTGGCCGAGAACTGGAGCTGTCCTTGGACGCGAGTAGCCAAGAGGAGGAGGAGCAGCAGCCAAAAGGGAGGCATCTTCTGTTGATAATGGCCCGCCATGGAGATGGTTTATTGTGGAAGCGGCTTTGTTATTAGTTTACGCGGTGTACTTGTACCGGTTCAATGGTACCGGTATTAGCAGCGCTTTCCCTTCACCACGTCGCCAAGTAACGCAACGGAGCATTCGCACAAGGTACCGTATTCGCTTCAAAAGATACTGTATCAGTCATGGTAAATCTTTCAAGCGAATCGAAGCAGTGTGCTTCCAAACCTGGGTGTCAAGAGGAAAGGTATCTGATGGACGACTTCAAATGAGAGGCCAACAACACTTCACCACACATCATTCCACCTCAACATAGCTCCACCTATCTATCTGTCTATCCATACAGATAGAGTTGTTTCCCTCAGATACCCACCATTGCCATCGTTTCAAGGCTCCAAGGGAGAAGACCTCCTGGTTACACGGAAAGAATTGCGATCCGTTGCAGGCATCTCTTCATCCCAGCCGAAGATACTCTTGTAGTTGAGCCTACTAATACCGGTAGTCGCCACTGGAGAGTAATACTGGGCAAGATGCTACCATCCATCTGTCTCATTACATTGACCTTCTCGGTGGTCCAATCAACTTCCTACTCGGCTTCCATTGTACCTCATTCTCTATCTGGTAGAGCGACTAGGTTACCCACACTACGGTATAATACCCCTCACACAAGATCCCTCCCCTATCTGTCATCTTTGACTGCCTTGAAAGGTGGAGCAGTATCCGATAGCAATACCGATGATGGCGACGACGAAGAAGCGCAACAATCCTCATTCTCTGAAACGACTAACGAGGAACCTGCAGTAGTACCGCCCCCACCAACTCCACCCTCCGAACAAATCTCGGAGGATCCAACCCCACCACCACAACAACCTGCCACTGATACTGCTGTAGAGATGGCTCCCATTATCACAAGACCTCCCGGTTGGATACGACGAACATTTCCCAATTTCCCCTATCACCGATTACCCGACTACCTCACATTGGCGCGATGCGCCGCCATTCCACTCTTGTGTGTGGCATTTTACTCACCGGCGCGTCACATTGAAACGGGCGTCATTTTTGCCTTGGCGAGTTTTACCGATTGGTTGGATGGATTCTTGGCACGACGGTGGAATGTCAGTACGGCCTTTGGAGCCTTTTTGGATCCCGTCGCCGACAAACTCATGGTCAGCACGGCATTGGTATTGTTGTCGGGGCGTCATGGAGCCATTGTGGCACTCCCCGCCGCTGTCGTGCTGGCACGGGAATTGGCCGTTTCGGCCTTGCGAGAATGGATGGCGCAATTGGGACACCGTGACACGGTGCAGGTTGGATTCCAAGGCAAAGTCAAGACAGCCTTGACCATGGTCTCCCTGACGCTCATGCTGTTTGTACCCGAAATTGGAGTCACCACCACTCATAGTACGTGGTTGGGAAATCTGTTTTTGCCCAGTTTGGCATGTTTGTATCTTTCGGCAGTGATTACCGTCACGAGTGGGAGTGTGTATTTTCGTGCAGCGGCACCGTTTTTGTTGCAAAAGTAAGCAAGTAATAACGAATGAATAGTCCAGAGATTGTCTCTGTCGGTGTTGGAATATTCCAAGTAATGCAGGTTGGAGTGGTATGTAACTCTATCGGTAGACTACCGTATCTATCTGTAGCTTTGTGTGAAGAAGCTCAAGTTACTTGTAACCTCTCCTCGTTTGAACATCCAAGCCGTGGTCACCGGAACAAATGTAGTGGCTTTTATTAATAGCTACCAGCTCCCAGTCACTTGACTCGAACGAGGACCCGCATGACAGCTCTCCGTGATCACATACATGTACTAGTAGGTCCGTTCATGTGATGGGGATACCCAAGGACAGCAGCACTCGAAAAGAAATTGTGGTGGCTTAGCTGGCTCTTCTATTGTAGCTAGACAGACAAATCAGCCACTGACCCGCATCACCATCCCTCCGATCATCGCTCTCGCTTCTGTGAGACTCGCAATCTGCACACATACGGTAGAGTAATGTGACTGGGTGGCTTTTCATGATGTTTGGTGGACCCAACCGCAGGTTTCAAAGGGGCTTGTTGGCTGCATGGAGTACCGCTACTACGGAAATATCTAAACAACAGAGGACACCAGTGCCAGTGGTCGTAATTGAAAGGGACAACCAGAGTGTGTGTGTCGGCGGCCATGAAGGCTTTCTAGCTAGTAGCTAGCTTTCAATGCCAGTTGGCAGTCTTGCGAGCTTGGCAGCGGTCAGTCTACTCGGGTAGCGAGTACAGGTACGTGTCAGCTTCATAGCTCCACTCGCTCCTCACTGTAATTTTTGCCATGGATTTCCCGCAGTTGGTTTGAGGCTTGGCAAGCTCTTGACAGCGGCCTGTCTACTCGAGGACCGAGTACGAGTACAGTACCATGCGGTGCGTGTCAGACACGGAAGCTCCCCTCGCAGCTTGCTGTAATAGGCTTTCCATGCCGTTGTCCTACTTTAATTAACCCCCTTATCACTCACGTTGACTTGGCAAGCTCTTGGCAGCGCTCTGTCTACTCGAGTACCAAAAGCTCCCCTCGCCTCGCTGTAATTTTCGGTTAGGTCGCTTTGAACCCAATCAGCATTGGTGGGGCTCACAAATTTACAAATCAGGAAAAGTAAAGAGAAAACAATACAACCACAACCATCATGATTAATGAAGAAGTGATCACCACCAACATGGAAAATATGGAAAGTGAATCCAACCGTCCTGATCAACAAAAGAAAAACAATGATGGTCCTCGCAAACGCCTCTCTCTCAGGTCCTCAAAGTTGCGACAATACCATTGTGCAGTGACTAGTCTAAGGATCTAAGAGATGTAAAGTTGTATTTCCAAATAAGTGAGCAGTTATTGATTATTTTCTAGAATAAGCCTGCTAATTGTAAAGCTGTAAAGCTGAATTGTAAGCTGTATCCCGTCGCACTCC